TTAGATTGTTATGCCCTTATCGTTTCTCATATTGAACTTTCCATCATCGATTTATATTTTAAAAAACCTAAAGTTGCTTTGTAGGATTCATTTTTGAACTTGTCCTCTCCGTTATCGACAACAATGATAGAATTACATGATTTATCATTTAGTGAATCGTTTGATTACTATAGTGTGATTAAGTGCTTCTTATTTACCGGTTAATTCAAAAGAGTTACGTATACACTTTATTTCAGATTTTTTTAATAATATGTTAATCACTTTACCTGAAACAAACTAAATGATGCATAGATGCTTTTTTCGAGTTTCATGGGAGCAGGGCGAGGCATCAGGGTCGGTGTCCCGAACACTTCTGCTTCAGACCAGATTACTATTGCAATAACCACAAAATCAAGAACTTAAAAACGGGAGTTAAATCAAATTTTGGCTTGTTAACATCGTTCCCTTTATGGTTAGTCATAATCAAGGATCTGTGAAATTACGTTGAATGCTGAAATTGTACAACAACTTACCCAATGTCGATTCATAAGCTCTCTAATCCATATGTTTACTATTTTTTGTTTTAAAAACTTCAGAGACATGAATGTTTCATTTAAACATCATGATGTTGAATTTCCTACTCAAAATGATGTATTGTTGCGAGGTTGGCTGTATGAACCGATTCGAGAAGTTGAAAATCAAAATCTTTATCCAGGAATTGTGATGTCACCTTATTATGGAAGTGTGAAAGAACTCTTTTTGGATTTATATGCAGAATATATTACGAAATTCAATTTTGTTGTACTTCTTTATGATAATCAGAATTTTGGCGATAGCGAAGGTGAACCAAGACAAGAAATCGATCAAAAAAAAACAAATTCAAGATTAGAGCTCGCCAATAACATATTTACAATCGTTGACAAACTTAGTTGATCCTGAACGTATTGGTATTTGGGGTACAAGTTACAGTGGTGGTCACGTGTTAGTTGTCAGTGCAATCGACAAGCGTATCAATTGTGTTGTTTCACAAATGCCATCTATCAATGGAAAACAGAATTTACGCAGAAAGCACAAGAATGATGAGGCATATCAGAAATTATTAAATGCTTTCGAACGTGATAGAAAACAAATAGCAGAAGGAGGTACTCCGAGAATGATACCGATACTTCAACCTGCACTGCAACCAGATTGGTGGGAATTTTTTGATGTAAATAAAGCTTTGGATGAAGATAAATGGCGTTATAAAAATTGGAAAAATGAACAAACATTACGCAGTTTAGAAATGTATGGTGAATATAATCCAGAAGAATATATTGAACAAGTTTCGCCATGTCCATTACTAATGATTGTTGCTGAGAATGATACAGTAACGTTTACGGAAGATGAAATTGAGCTGTTTGAGAAAAAAGTCCGTGAACCAAAAAAACTAGTTAAATTTAACGGTGATCATTTTTTAGCTTACAAAGGACAACCATTTGAAATTACAGCAAAAGCAGCAAGTGAGTGGTTCACGAAATACTTACAAACATAGTCAATAAGAATGTGAAAACTTTGCTCACCTGTCGATTTACTCTAAAAAGGAACACTTTTAGAAAAAAAATCGATTCTTCAAACATTGTGTGCTTCTCTGAAGTCACGAAATGCAAAGGAGTAAGGTGTGGGTATTATTGAACATTTATTAGGATGTGGGTGTAGCAGGGGTACCATTTCTCATTTTTTCAATGGGGTTTAGAAAAGTCAAAATGGGGTACATTCGGGGTACATTCCAATTTAAAAAGGGGCACATCAATGGGGTACATGATTTTACTCCTGAAGTAAAGTATTTGATTGAGAAACCTGCTCAAATGACACTGCTTTTGTAGAAAACAGAGCATATTTCACTTTTTTTTTCAATTAGATAGGCGTAACTGTTTACAATCTTTCAATTAGCTTTGTGTTAATTGATTATTGAGTTCGAAATCGGAAAATAACATTACGAACCATCTATAAAAGACGTAAAGCGGACGAAGACGATCAGAAAAATGCGGACATATACAAAATCATTGTGAATTTTTTAATTGTGCTGCATCGATTTCCATGGCGCTTTCATGCATCGCTTGTTTTTATTTCAATAATATTTAGGCTTCAAAAAACTCCAGACTAAATAGCATTTGCAACTAGCTATGTGATAAAGTGGGTAGATTTTTGAGGATCATTAAAAATAAAATTGTTCAGTCCATATTTTCCCTATTTCATACTCTTTAGAATTCGATATACATACAGAGTACATATGTTCCAATAGATTTCATTTTGACTAAATGGTTTTCACTCAGTTCCGTTTTCGATTCGTTAAAAGAAGAGGACTGCATGTTAAAGACTAGATTTCATCAGGAGACCTGTTTGCATGAATTTTGTATCAAATTTTTCTTTAATCTGCTACTTCCATAACTTTATTACTGATCCATCAATCATGTAGATTATTCTACGACTGATATGCTGGCTAAATTAACTTAGAAGATGTATTCAGGCAACAATATTTTTCCAAAAAATTCTCTGCTTCTGACGTTTACTGGAGGTAGGCTTTCCAGAACTAGACAACATTGTATCGGCGATAGACAACCGTAAATTATGTAATTTTTACCAGGACACTCTTCACGAGTAACTCTAATAAATAGACAACGAAGATTACCATCAAATTCATTAAAGAGAAAATCTGCAATTAGAGATATCTCAAATAGAGTTTGTATTTGCAAAATAAAAAAGAAAAATTAACGAAACACGGAGAAATCAGATAAGAAGAAATGTTTAAGTTTTATTTCGGTATTCATAACGATAATAGTATGAACAATCAAGTATTTCAATTCGATACTGAAAGAAACAGATGTAGAAATCTATCAGTCAGTTGTTAACTAATACTTTTTTTAGATAAATAAGAGTGAAAAGACTAGTGAGAAAACACACTTTATTTACATTGAGGGTGTGGGTATGAGTAAAGAGAGAAATGACACCCACACTCACATCCATACCTATATCCTCACCCACACCCATACCCCGACAAAAACTTTTTTTGTGGAACTCTGGCTGGTAGCAGTAGTATATAAAATCATCTACACGTGTTTTCTTTTGCGATATTTGTTCATTTCCTCTTGTTCTTTCTCTCACTGTCATATTCTTATCTCTTATAATAAATAATCAGCCATACGTGCATATACATTAGTGCGTCCATCGTATTGTTTTGGTGTGCACGTGTCGTTTATTTGTTTATATTCAAGAAAGTCGGCAAAATAAAACCAAGTTTAACTGTGGACCTATTTTCCTGCTCCAGATGGGTGTGGGTGTGTGGGTCTGATGTGGGTGTTCATTTAGTCAATACCTACACCAACACCTCACACCCACACCCACACCCTTGTGTAGCGTATTCTCGTCTCTTTTGCATGGTATGTACAAAGAAAACAATTTATGTAAGAATAGAAATGGAGCGAGGAAAAAAAGTAGCATAAGAATGCATCGTACCAAACATTAAAATTAGGTTATTTCACGAGAAAAATTTTCCGAAATTTGAAATGATGGTTTGGTGAACTGATTTTTACAAGAAAGTGATAGTAAACTGAAGGCTATCTACTGATCTTATCATATTGCTTGTAGCTGCTAGTATTGAAATACACTAATCCTCACAAAAAATATTTTGAAATTGATTGATCAACGTTTGGATCTATAGAATATGCATACAATATATGATGCAAAAGTTATGAGACAAAATACCGATCCATATTTTCTCTTCGATAGAACGGTACTGAAAGGGAAATTTTTTGTACCAAAAGATAGAGCTTTTTCTCCTCTTTCAAATCGTATGTAAATTATTTCTATAATAGGTTCATTAACGAAACCATACAACAGAAAAGAGAAGCACCCTTAAAGACAATCTGCACTTTTCGTGAGATTCAGAAAAACGGCACAAAATCTTGTTCTCTACAATTCTTCGACAAACACGTTTTAAAGCGAATATTTTTTTATCATTTGATAATAAATTTTCTTCTCTTTCGAACAGTGTATGATTTATATTCGTCAAACATTCTTAAATGAAATGAGACGAGAAAGAAAAGAGAAACACTCGCGCAATAAATTTCTAATTTTTAAATGACTCGTCAAGAACATCTTGTTCGACAACAATTGAATCAATCTTTGTGAACTTGTTAAAAACATCTCGTAAACCGGCAGTTAATTTTAATTAAATGGCGTCAACAAGATTTTTTAACGAAGTCAAATAAAAATGATAAAATTATTGCATGCATGCTTATCTTTTTCTTCTCGTCTCGTTTCACTAATTAATGTGGGATAATTATGAATGATACACTATTCGAAAGAGAAAGTTAATTGCCTATCAATTGATTAAAAAATATTCTTTTCAGAAGTTTTTTTATCGTAGAAATGTAAGAATCGACATTTTTTTGCAGTCTTTTACAGAAGAGTGCGAGTTGTTTTTAAGAGTGCTTCTCTTTCCTGTTCTATCGTTTCGCTTATGAACATGCTACAAAAATTAACTGCATACGATTCAAAAGAGGGGAGAATTCTCTATCACCTGGTAAAAAAGTTTTCTTTCAGTACTTTTCTATGGAGGAGAAATAGGATCCGACATTTGCCCTATTACTTTTGCATCATATATTACGTAACTTGTATGAATTCTAATGGTAGATTTTCTAAGGAATATTTTGCCGAGCAATTTTGTTCGATGAATTCAAGTGATGGCCTGCAACTGTTATGGCTGAAACAAAAGAAAAAAAAGAAAAATCTGCTGCCACTATTATGCACGTAATGATCTTTTCTTCAAGAAATGACGACGTAAATATTACTGTTCATTCCGTCGCAGACTCCAGAGTATACATTACTGCGCAATTTTTTATAAG